ATAACTAGCAAAACAAGCATAACACAACTCTGTAATGCTGAGCTGATGCGTCTAGCTGGAAGATAAACACAAAAAAAAACTCCGCCGTAGTGATCACGATAGAAAATTGGCAACTTATAATCAAAATCTAAGTTCGAACCTTGGTAATATCCGTCACTGCCACTTTCTTGTAATTCACCTTCCTTTCAGAAGCATCGTTTTGCTGAGCAACTACTTCATCAGGAACTACTTCCTCTTCCTTGTAGTTCTGCCATATATTTCGGCTAGAACAAACTGATTAGACAAGGGTATTGGGCAAACATATGTTTAAATGAGAAACTTCTCTCTCTATCCACTGGGGCTAAAGGCAAGCTTACACCCTTTCTTTGAACCAAATAAAAAGGTATTAATTCGTTGAGAAAGAAATGGGGAAATCTCTTATATCTATCTGCAAGTCCTGCGCCGAATACAAAAACAGAGGAATGCACAGTATATGTTCAAGATTTCAATTTATATGAATTATTCTTGACAATTAACGCATTAAATAGCGCACGAAAAAAATCACTAAAAAAATTTGACGACAATGTTGCTGTATGATAAAATTTTGATCATTTTCTTGATAAAATGGTTTTATTATGGACATCGCCAATTAGAGGGAATACATGAAAAAGAGAAGAATCTCGATTGATTGGATTAGCAATGAACATTTGTTTGGCAAAAAAAAAAATAAGATGCGATGCAAGCAAAAAATTGCAAAATCATAAGGTTTTTTTTTCTTTTCAAAAGTTTTAGCAGAAAACAGGATATGGTAAGATCTCACACATGTTCTCTATTTCTTATCTACAAAAGCATTGAACTCCTAGCTTTTTAAAGGCCATTGAGCATGTTATATCGGGCGTTAAGTTCAATAAGAACATCAAGGATGCCGATGGGCGATTGGAGAATACCAGTCGTCTTCACCCACCCTCGCAAAGCCAGGTAAATTTTTGAAAGCTGTGTGCTTTCTGAAAGCGAAGGACATGAAGATTCAAAATGTGTACCTAATATATCCATTCCATTTTAACGGTAACGCTATAAGCTGTTTTACACAGGGAACGTCGTCCATTCCAGCCTTGGTCTCTATGAAATGACATGAAGTTCTAGTTTTGATATGTTATTGGCAAGGGTTACCTCAATCTTATGTTACCTTCACAAAGCTATGTGTTTTCAAAATGGTAACTTTGGGATCATGCTGCTCAGAGACGATAAGTGAATTAAAAGTTTTTTGTTTCCCCACTCAGCCGCCCTC